AACAAGGGCGAGCACGCGGACTTCTCGGCCTTGGCGTATTCTGGGCTGGCGCTCACCCCCTCGGCGACGGGCAGCCTCCACGCGGACTGTGGGTGGTCAGACCCCTCCCCAGGGTTGTTGTTTTAGGCAAACGTGATCCCCCGCCTCCGCCTCCCCCTTCCCCTCCGCCTCACCCCCTCCTCCTCATAATAAGCCGCCTACCTCTCCCTCCTCCGCCTCCTCCTCCTCCTCCTCCTCCTCCTCCGTCTTCTCCCCCTCGTCTCCTCATCCTCCTCCTTAATCCTCCTCCTTCCTCCTCTCTCCTCCTCCTCCTCCTCCTCCTACTCCTCCCCCTCCTCCTCCTCTCCTCCGCCTCCTCCACCTCCTCCTCCTCCTCCTCCTCCTCCTTCCCTCCTCCTCCCCCTCTTCCTCCTCCGCCTCCTCCTCCTCCTCCTCCTCCTCCGCCTCCTCCTCATCCTCCCTTCATCTTCCTGTATCATCTGTTTTGGGGCGTTCTCCGTTTTTCTCCGAAACCTCATCGCCGCCCTTCCTCATCCTCCTCCTTCCTCACCGCATGTTCCCTCTCCGTGGGTGGCCCCTTGCCCCATCAGCCCAGGGCAATTTGCAACAGACGCCTGAAGAGGCCCTGACCACCCCAGGTGCCAAGACTTGGTGCCGTGCAGAATCTCGAGCCCAGTGCGGCTGTAGCGCCGACCATTCTTCTCGTCAGCGACGGCGTCCTAACGTTTTTTGTCGATAAAAAATGTTAGGACCGAAGGGGGAGCTTAAGGGGACGAGGGAGAAGGAACGGGTGAGGAGGACGACGAATGCGGTCCTTGGGCCCAGGGTTTGGCTTCTCGTTGCCAGTCGGTGCTTTGCTCGCAGGGCTTGGCGTTGCTGTCTTTGACGGGGTTGATGTGTTTGCTGTGCTTGCCGATGCTGCTCCAGGTTCGGGCTCATCGCCGTCGCAATCGCCATCCTCATCCCGCGCAGACCCGAACGCCTCGATCGCCCACGATACTTTCCTACAAGGGCACGCAGTTCCGATTGCCGACCGCGGGCCCGCCGACCAACCAGATTTCCGAGCCTAGGGTCCAGCTTTGATGGCGACGAGTCCGCGACTCAACCACTACGGGCCCCCAATGCAATCCGCGAACTACGTTTGCACACCCATATGTCTTCGTGAGGCTCTGGCTGACGTGTCGCATCATGTTTCTCACTTGTTTCTGCGTGTCCTTCACCCATTTGCTTGCTCCATCTGCTGTTAAGTGCCACCTCTCCTCGTGGTGCGATGCGACCGCTGCCAGAAGTGCCTTGCAGGAGGACGTTGGGGATGAGGAAGATGATGGGGAGGAGTATGAGGATAGTGCGGAGGTTGGGGATGAGAGGCCGAGGATGAGGAGGAGGAGGGGGGGGAGGAGGCGGAGGAGGAGGAGGATTAGGGAGGGGGGATACAGATGAACCTTCGCCTGCAACGGGTTCAGTTTGGTGACGACCTCGCGCGTGTCTGCAAGGAACCTCTGGTGCTTCAATAGTTCTGCCTTCTCGAGCCTGGCATCATGGAGGTCGTCGGTTGAATAGTCTATCGCGTCTGGCTGAAACGGTCGGGCGCGACCGCTCCGAAACTCGATCGTCGTTGAAACACTTGGGGGTCGATCTATCAGTGGCTCGGGGAACAGCTCTCGACCGACGAGTTTCGAAACATTCGTGCCCGTCCTAGGATTGAGATGAAACGACCATATTTGCACCAGCCGCTTGTGTTGCGGATGGCGTGACATAGCCTCGACCCGAGCCCGAAAATGTCTACGGACGAAACCAGCGCACGAGAAGATGGGGGCCACATACATATCGAGGGACACGTCGAGGGTTAAGGCTGTGACGGTGTAGGAGGGGACCGATGGACGGACCGTCGATGCGAATGCGTGATCGCAGGGCTGAGGACTACGTACGAGAGACGGTATGTAATTAATAATGGGAGTGAGGGAGGGAATGCATGCGGTGTGGTGACAGTGATGATGACTGCGACGCACGGGTGCCATCATGATGCGGATGATTGTGATGTTGACGACGACGAATGGGAGGAGCTAGCCGAGAGGGCGGGGCGGGGGCTGCGGTCCTCGAACGAAATGAGCTGACCCTTCAGCTTCTCCACGGACTTGCGCAGCTTCTTCGGCGGTGTCTGGTAGTGCGTGCCGGACACCTGCGGGGGGGAGCACGCTCGCAGACGAGAGACGACCGAAGCGACGCACACGAATCCCAACCAAATCCCAACTAATTGGGATTTGTGTTGGGATGTGTCGCGTCGCTACTGCGACTGCGATCTCGCATGCGTCACCCACAAAACATCTGGTGATTCCCAGTGCCCACCTTGGGGCACACGCCACTCGCTGCCCAGGGCAGCGTCTCCTTGTCGTTCTCCGTGATCGTGCCCGCCGATGTCGCCTCCTCCTGCACCGCCGCCGCCGCTGCGATGTCCACTGCCTGGGTGGCTGGGCGCGGCGCAGACCACCATCCCTGGCCGTCCGCTCCGCTGCTGGCCGACAGCGCGTGTGCCTGAGCGCCAGCCCCACCTCGCACATCCCACGAGTGCGACGCGCTGGGGTCGGGCTTGTCCTCATCATCGGCGGCGCCCTTGCCCTTCCTGCTGAAGTCTCGGCGGCTTCGCGCCGTTGCCTCTTGCAGCTCATGTTCTTCTCGGGCCGTCATCTGATCCTCCATCTGCTTCGACGCGATCGACTCCGCGATCACAGTGGCCTCATCATCCGACTTCTCGGTCGCAGCCACGACAGACGAGTCGATGATCTCGACGGCGTCATCCTTCTCCGCTGCCGTGGGGTTCGGTGCGCAGGGAGGCTGCTCATCATCGCTCATGTCGACAGCGGTCTGTCGCTCGAGCTCCACGTCCCGCTGCTGCGCGGCGTCATCCGCCGCGCCCTGGGCTGACGGAAGGGGCGCAGACGCCATCAGCGCCTGACCGATCGGAGTGTCCCAACACTCGGCAGGCGTCGCTGATAGCCACACGATCTTCTCAGACATCTCGCGCCCAAATGGCTACGAGGAAATGGCGAGGCGGAACAGGGGGAGGACACATAACGGGAAGCGGAGGCAGGGGGAGAAGGGATGATGGTGAGGAGGAGGATGAGGAGGATGAGGAGGAGGATGATGAGGATGAGGAGGATGGAGGAGGAGGAGGAGGAGGAGGATGAAGAGGAGGAGGAGGAGGACGAAGATGAGGAGGAGGACGCGGATGAGGAAGAGCAGGGGAAATAGAAGAACGAGACGAAATACCAGGAGGCAGATGAGGGGGAGAAGGACGAGGAGGATGAGGAGGAGGAGGCAAATGAAGACAGGGATGATGATGATGAGGGGGATGAGGAGGAGGAGGAGGAGGATGAGGAGAAGGAGGAGGATGATGAGGCTGGCGAGGATGAGGAGGAGGAGGAGGACGAGGAGGAGGAGGAAGAGGAGGAGGAGGAAGAGGAGATGAGATGAGAGGAGAGGAGAGGAGGAGAGAGGGGTGGAGAGGAGGATGAGGAGGAGGAGGTATGCAGATGAGGAGGAGGATGAGGAGGAGGAGAGACGGAGGAGGATGAGGAGGAGGAGGAACGGGGAGGAGGAGGACGGGAGGACGAGGCGAGGGGGGAACGAGTCGGAGGAGGAGGAGGAGGGGTAGGAGGAAGAGAAGGAGGGGCGGAGAGGAGGTGGAGGAGGAGGAGAGGGAGGAGGAGGAGGAGGAGGAGGCGGAAGGAGGAGGGGAGGAGGAGGAGGAGGAGGAGGAGGAGGAGAGGAGGGAGGAGGGGGGGGGGGATGGAGGAGGAGGAGGAGGAGGGGGGAGGGGAGGAGGTGTGAGGAGGAGGAGGAGGAAGATGAGGAGAGGAGGATTATCGAGAAGAGGAGGAGGAGGGGGAGGAGCAGGAGAAGGAGAAGGAGAAGGCGAAGGAGAAGGAGGAGGAGGAGGAGGAGGAGGAGGAGGAGGAGGATACGGAGCACTGGCGGCAGGGGTGGGGGAAGGGACGGAGGACGAAGGCGACGGCGAGCTGACGGGAAACGGAAAAGGAGAGGCGGGGCACACCACAGGGGAAAGAGCTGAGGGAGGGATGGACGGACGGAGGTACGGAGGGACAGATGGGATGGGGGAGGACGACGACGGCGGCGAAAGGAAGAGGGAAGGCGCAGAAACAAGAGCAGGAACAGGGGCAGGAGCAGGAGCAGGAGAGACGAGAGAGACAAAAACGAAGTTGAAACCTCATCCTTGCACCTCCTCCTCCTCCTCCTCCTCCTCCTCCTCCTCCTCCCCTCTCATGTTCCTCCTGATTCCTCCTCCGTTATACGCCTCCTTCCTCAATCCTCCTCTACCTTCATCCTCTTCTCCTCCTCATCCTCTCCTCTTTCCTCCCCCTCCTCCCCTTTCATCCTCCTCATCTCTCCTCCTCAACCCCTCTCCTCCCCTCCTCCTCCCTCATCCTCCTCCTCCTCCTCTTCCTCCTCCCTCCTCCTCCTCCTCCTACCCTCCTCCTCCTCTCCTCCTCCTCCTCCTCCTCCTCCTCCCTCCTCCTCCCTTTTTTCTTGTGGTTCCCTACGAGGAGGTTTTTTTTGTTTTTTTTTTTGTAAAGCGGCTTGGGATCTAGTGCGCGCATCGGTCGGCGTGCAAGTATAACGCGCGCACCAGCGCGTATACCGTGCTGGGGCTGCGCATTCGGATTTCCCGATCACTTTTTGCAGCGCTCTGGCGCATCTCCGATCACTTTTTGCATCGTCCATATACAAAACTCAACGTTTTTGGCTCGATCCCGGAGAGGGATCGGGAGACCCTCTGGGTCCTCCGTCGTCGCCTCGACGCCGAGTGGAGCCCCAAGGTGCGGTGTACAGACGCCTCCCCCTGGGGCCGGGGCGTGTGCTTGGCGGAGCGCGATCTCCAGTCCATCGTGGAGGCTGGCCGGTGGTCGGACCGGTGGCGCTTCTCGCGAGGGGCTGAGGATCGGGTTCGGCCGACGGGCGCCTCGCTCCGGGAGGAGCTCAACATGGCCGCGGCGGCCGGTCTGGATGACCTGGACCGTGTCGGGACGGCCCAGCACCTGGACGCCCTCGGCGAGGTTGACCGGAGCGGGGTTGTCCCGGAGATCGGACCGAAGATCCTTCAGGGGCCCTGGACCACCGTCTCGGCCGGCCGCTGGAGGCGTCGGGAGGCGATGCCCGTCTTGGAGGGGCGCGCTCTGGTCTGGGGGGTCCGTCACGTGAGCAGGGGTTTAAGTGAGTTTGGCAAGAGAGTCTTGTTTCTGACCGATGGGCTGTCCGAGGTGCTGGCCCTCGAGAAAGGCCGATCGTCTAGCGTAGCCTTAATGGGAGTGTGCAGGCAGTGGGCGGCGACGGTGTTTGCGGCCGATCTGTATCCTCGTGCGCGGTGGATTCGGTCTGAGTTGAACGTGGCCGATGGGCCCTCTCGACGCTACCAGCCGAAGCCGTTTGGGCTCAAACCACCAGGCTGTCGGCCTCCGCCAGGGCTGACAGAGCCGGATTTCGAGCGGGCCCCCTCGCCCGTTCGGAAGTGCCCTGAGCCTGCCGGCACCTCGGGGCGCGCCCCTCCCGGCGTGCAGCCAGCTCCGACCGGGGGGGCCAGCGCAGCGGTGGGCGGGGCCAGCCGCGCCGCCGACCCTGGCGCGCGCGGCGGCGCAGCTGCCGGCGCCGTGCGCGTGCCCTGCGAGGCGGGCCCAGGCGACGACGACGGCCCGACGGGTCAAGCCGCGGCCGGAGGTGCAGGCCACCAGGGGGGTGCGAGCCGCCGCGCGACCGGGAGGTTTCCCCGAGGACAAGCACGTGGCGGACAGCGAGGGCCTCGCGTTGACGGAGAAGGAGAACGCGGAGGACCTCTACCAGCGGGTCTACCACGCCGCCCTCGCCGAGTTCAGGAGCATCGCCGTGACCCTGGGCCTCCGCCTCGGGACCGCCGCGGACTACGACGGAGTGGCCCTGGAGCGGGCCCATCGCCCGCTCTTCGACAGCGGCGGCGTGCAGGAGGGGTCCAGGCTGAAGGCGGTGCTGCGCCACTTACCACCCGCGGCTGCTGGTCGCGAAGGGGCTGCCCGGGTTCGCCCGAGCCCTGAGGGGGTGGAGGCGGCTCGTGCCGCCTCGGAGCCGACTCCCGCTCCCGTGGGGGGTCGCGCGCGCGCGGGCGAGCAGGCTGGCGGCCAACCAGTGCGCCGCGCGTCTCGTCGCCGTGACGTTCGTCTCCTGCCTCCAGCTCGCGGGGCTGACGTCGCCAGCCGGACGGCAGGTGGCGCCGCCAAGCCGGGCGGCCGGGCACGACGCGCGGCCGCTCGTGCTGTTCCCGATGGAGAAGAAAACGTCCGGCATAAGCGGCACCTGCAACGCGAGCATCGTCGGCGCCCTGCCGTTCTACCACTTCATCGGGAGCATGCTGAAGCTGCCCAAGAGCAACGTCGGCGAGAGGGAGCTGGCGGCGCAGGCGCGGCACATGCTACGGGTGCAGGCGTGCCGAGCGGCAGGCCAGCAGCTCAGGTTCGAGGGCCCGCCGGGCCTCTACCAGCTGCGAGACAGCGGGGCGTCCGCCGACTTCGCCCGCGGCCGCCGGAGCTTGGCAGAGGTGCCAGCTCGCGGGCGCTGGGCGACCGACAGCTCGGTGTCAGAGTACGGCATGGGGGGCGCATCGCCGACCAGCTGGCCAAGCTGCCGATGCCCTCCTTCGAGCACGCCGTCGGCTGCGCCCAGCAGATTGGCGGCATCCTCTGCAGGCGCTGCCGGCCTTTGCCGCCCGTGCGGGCGGCGCCGTGGCGCTCGAAGTGTTCAGCGGCTCGGGCAACCTCAGTCGGGCCTGGCGGCGGCGGCAGCAAGCCTTAGGGTTTGCCGTCTTCGAGTGGGACCTCCGCTGGGGCGATGAGTATGACCTGACCCGCCGTCGCGTGCAGCGCAGTGTGCGAGGATGGGTCAACAACGGTCTGGTCGCCGCCGTGTGGATGGGGACCCCGTGCCACAGCTGGAGCCGCGCACGGGGCATCCGACCTGGGCCCCCGCCACTTCGAAGTGATGTACACGTAATGGGCCTGCCTGACCTGGCGCCCCGGAGTGCCGAGAAGGTTAGGGTCGGCAATGCCTTAATGAAGTTTTCGGCCTCGCTATTCGCCCTGCGCCAGGCCGTGCGAGTGCCGGTCGCCACCGAGAATCCTCACTTGTCTAGAATATGGCTGACGCCACAGTTCAAAGGTCTGCTGAGAAAATGCCGCACGGTCGTGTTAGACTTTTGCCAATTCGGCCAATCGTGCCGGAAGCGCACCCGCATAGTGTACGATCATGTTGATTTGCAGCCCTTCGGCCGTCTTTGCAACGGCCCCCGCGGGATTTGCTCTCGCACGGGTCGCCCGCACGACCAGCTTCAGGGAACAAATTCTGACGGCATCTTTCTCACGCTTTTGGCCGAGGCTTACCCAGCCGACCTCTGTGCCAGCATCGTTCGCTGTTTCCAGTTCGCGCTTGCAGAAAAACAAAGTCAGAGAGTGCAGAAGTTGTGGCGCGGCTGATGCCAGGCGCGTTTTTGGAGTGAAGTTCCGTTCTGTGCAAAAATGAGCTGGAGTTCGCTTCGCGTTTTGAGTTGGGTACTGTCCCGAGCTCGAGACCTTCTGATCTGTGATTGTAAAGTCGGGAGACTTGTCGACACCAGAGATAGCATCGCTTCGCGCGCCTGGCGGGAAAAAGGGCCTGGGCGTTACATATATATATATATATATATATATATATATATATATATATATATATATATGCACGCATACATATAATGTGATATAGTTGTGTTTGCATGTATGTCTATGATATTTGTAGCACGTCTCCCTGAAATATGTCTCGTTCATTTCTCTCGTTTCAGTCATCGGCCCCTCTCTCTTTCTTCCTTTACTTCTTTCTTCATGTCTCTGTCTCTCTCTCCCTCTCTCTCTCGCTCTCTCTCCCTCTCTCTCCTTCTCGCGCTTCGAGGCCGTGGGCCCCCGAGGCTTCGACCCGCAGACTCGCCCCAGATCCACGTCTGACGGCCATTGGGTCCCGAAAGCGACCCCAGGCCAGAAATCGTGGAGAGGGCTGAGGCTGAAAAGCCCAGCCCGCGGGAGGTCTGGGATATCCCCGGAGGGCCGAAGGCTTCCATCGGGAGGTCGACAACCTCCACGCTGGGAGGAGAAAGAGAGCTTACAGGTTGGAGGTGAAAGGGGCCTCCAGCGTGGAGGTCGAACATCCGCCTCGAGCATCTGGCGCCGCGTGGCGCCGACGACCCGTCGACCCGAGGGACCCGTGTCGCAGCGTGGCGAAGCGTGACGCCCTCGGTGCACGCCCCGTGCTTCGCTCGGTCTGGGCGCGCTGGCAGTCGTTAGGCGTCCTTCGCTCCGGCTTGCCCAGCCAGGGGAAGGCCTGAAGGCGAGGCTGGCCCGATGCCATGGCCGCCAGCGTCGCAAGTTTGTCGGGGGGACCGCCTGCCAGACCTCGCGCCCGGCGGGCAGTGCGTCTGGAAGGCGGCTGGGGCCTCCGGCTGCAAGGAGGAGTCGCCCGGAGCAGGAGGAGGAGGAGGAGGAGGAGGAGGAGGAGGAGGAGGAGGAGGAGGAGGAGGAGGAGGAGGAAGGGAGGAGGAAGGGAGGAGGAGGAGGAGGACCAGTGGAAACCCAAGAGTCATCAACGATGTTGGGCTAAACCTTCCCTCCAAGCTCCCTCTTCATATGCCCCTACAACGGTTCATTTCCACTGAGGGAACTGCCTCGTTGGAAGACAACCGTTTGAAGACCCTGGAGCATGCCAAAACAATGTTCTCGGGATTCCACCGCCACGGATCAACCTGACTGTTGCGTCTTGACAATCTTGAACCGTGCCAGAACACCATACCTGAGATTTCAACACGGCGAATCAACGTAATTGTTGCGCCCCAATAGTTCCTTACGAAAACATGATTTCTGGTGTGCTGATCATGGGAATCCGTGAAACTCTTGCAAATTTGTAAAACGAGTGTGCGCGGCGCTAAGGCGAGTGCCACATTTTGAAAAGGAACCGCCCTCAATCCGTGAAACTCGTGCAAGTTGTTTGAACGAGTGATCGCAGCGCTAAGGCGAGAGCCACATTTTGAAAACCACCCGCCCGCAGTCCGTGAAACTCTTGCAAATTTGTAGGACGAATGCGCGCGGCGCTAAGGCGATAGCCACATGTTGAAAACCACCCGCCTTCTATTTGTGAAACTGATGCCATTTTTAAAGCTTCAGGGTCATAAATGGTAAGGAAGTCTCAGGCGGAACGTCTGGCCCGCCCTAAAAACTGGCCTCGGGGTGCGACAGGGGGAAGTTATTGTAGTGGCCTTCGGCCAGTGCCGCCGATCCAGGTCGCTTGGGGCGCCCCCCAGGCTGGGCGGCGACATTTCGCCGACAGACACGCGCGCACATGCTCGCAGACATTACGCGCACACACGCACGCACACGCACACGCACACGCACACGCACACGCACACGCACACGCACACGCACACGCACACGCGCACGCACACGCACACGCACACGCACACACACACACACACAACAAAAAAACACTTTACACACCCACAGACGCACACGCACACACACACACCACCTTCACAAACGCGCGCCACCTTCGCAGGCACATACACACGCACACGACGGCAACACACACACACACACACACACACACACACACACACACACACACACACACACACACACACACACACACACACACACACACACGCATATACACACACGCACACACGGACACCACGCACACCGCACAAGCACGCACACACCACACAACAGACACGCATTTCACCGCCACCTTCGTCTTCCCCTCATTTGTTCACCGTTTTCCGCTTTTGTCCTGTTCCACTTCTCTCTCCCTCTTTCCCCGATTCCATTCTCGCGCACACGGACAAACATCACCCCGCGCACACGCGCCCCCCCCCCTCCTTCCCTGGCAGAGCCACCCCGGCAACCCCCCCCAGAGGCTGAAGCTCAGCCTCGAGGCTGTAACTGAGACTCCTTCAAATTCACACGCCACGAACCCCCCCCTTCCCCTCCCCCACGCCATCGGAACCCACGCCACCAGAGACCCCCCTTCCCCCATGTCGCCTTGTCCACAGGCGGGACGGGGGACCGGACCCACCCCCCACGCCACCAGAACCCACGCCACCGGAACCCTTCACCACCCTTACTCCTACCGGGCACAGCCACCCCGGCCACCAGAACCCTCCCCGGTTCCCCCAGACCCCCCCCCCCACGCCATTGCCATGGAACCCACGCCACCAGAACCCCCCCCTCCCCTCCGCTTACCCCGGCAGAACCGCTCCGGTCACTTCCCCCTGAAACTCACGCCGGATCGGCGGATTTACAAGAAAGAAGTTGTGGAGGAAGAGGAGGAGGAGGAGGTGGAGGAGGAGGGAGGAGGAGGAGGAGGAGGAGGAGGAGGAGGAGGGGGAGCAGGAGCAGAGCAGGAGGAGGAGGAGGAGGAGAGGAGGGGGGAGGAGGAGGAGGAGGTAGGAGGAGGGGAGGAGGGGAGGAGGAGGAGGAGGAGGAGGAGGAGGAGGAGGAGGAGGAGGAGGAGGAGGAGGAACAGGAAAAGGAGGCTAGACTCGACCTAGCAAGGTCTTGTATTCGAATTCGCGCGACTCGGGGCCCACTCAGGATCTCTTTTTTAGCGTAGGCCGAGCCTGGGTAAAACCCCAGGCTCTGCCCACGCCGACCTGGGCCCATGGAATCCGCCTCCAGGTCGAAGGCGGAGTCCGAGGCGTGCTCATCTGCTGATGTCCGCCACGAAGGAGGCGAAGAGCTGGGCGAGGTCGCGGGCGCGGGCGGCCGCAGCGGCCTGGGGACCGCCAGGTTGCGGCCCGTCGCTCCCCCCGTCGGCGGCCCCCAGCTCCACGTCGAAGCCGTCGTCGCCGCCCGTTCCCCGCATGCCGCGGCCGCCCGTCCCGCGGGCGTCCGCCGCTCGGCCTGTGGCCGCCGCGGCCGAGGCCTCCACGGCAGGGCCGCCTTCCGCCGCGAAGTCGTCGACCACGAACCTGTCCGCCCGTGGGCCAGGAGGGCGGCGGTCGGCAGCTCGTCGCCGCCGCCGTCGTCGACGAGGCCGTGCTCGGCGGGAGGCCGCCCGACGGCCATCGGCGCCTGCACCGCAGTGACCGCGGCGACCTGCGCCTCGAGCTCGACGAGGCGGTTGGCGGCCGCCCCGAAATCGGCGCGCTGCGCGTCGGAGCCGTCGTGCTAACCTCGGCCCCCCGCTTCCGCGATCGCGAGCGCCGCCGAATTCATCCTCTCCTTGGCGCCACGGAGGAAGGCCTCCAGCTCCGCAGCTCTCGTGCCCGTAGAGACCTCCGCGATCTTCTCGCAGGGCACGCCCCTGCCGCCGTCGACAGTCGGCACCTCCGAGCCGTCGAGGCCTGGACGCCGAAAGCTTCGTTCTCCGTCTCGAAGGCCTCCTGCTCCTGCGGCTGCACGCCGTTGACCCGATGATCACCAACCGCCAGCTGCTCGACGTCCCAAGCGCCAGGCGCGAAAAAGGACGCTGGTACGAACAGGGTTGCATCCGGTGAGAGCCTGGCGCCCTCCGCCGCCAAGCTCGTCTCGGCCTCGAGCCGCGCCTCCAGCCGTGGGCTCTTCTGAGCCCGCTTCAGCGCGGCCTCGCCCGCTGTCACCACGTCCGCGCCGTCGGCGCCCGCGTGGAGGGCGACGTTCCTGCGGAGCGTCACCAGCCTCGTCGGCGCCCGGCCAACCAGTTTCTTTTGCAAGAACGGGAGCAGCGCCCGCAGACGCTGGCCCACCTCGTCGCAGCCGGCCACCGCCGCGAGCGCGTCCTCCACCACCGCTGGGTGGTGTAGAGGCTCAGGTTCGAGGCCCGACGCAGCTTAGGTATTTCCGTTTGCCGAAATCGTATTCTCGTTTGCCGTTTGGGCCACCTGCCGTTCTTAGGGTTTATCGCTTTAGGCTCCCAGGTTTGTGTTTTCGCACTTGTGTGGCTCATGTGGCGAAGGCAAAGTTGTTCTCGTTGCGAGGGCGCAGCGCCTCGGTGCGCGGTTATCCTGTGTGCGCGTAGGGTCGCGGTAGCAACTCCCGTGTGTACCATGTTATTTTTCAGCCGGTATTGGCCAGCCACTCCTTCCTCCACCTCCTCCTCCCTGTCCTTGCTTCCTCCTGTCTTGTCTGCCTGATTACTTCGCTGATTCTCCCACTGCTGAACTGCATCCCACTTCAAGCTTACTTTTAGCCAAAGTTGCCCACTTCTAGCCAATGTTTAGCCCACTTCTAGCCCACATGTAGCCACTTCTAGCCTATGTTTAGCCCAGTTTTAGTCCACTTCTAGCCCACTTCTAGTTTACTTTTAGTCCACTTTTAGCCCGCGCGTGCCCGGTCTTTCAGTTGCGCGCCCCGGAGGCCCGCAGGGAATACAAAAACGACGAACGGGAATGCAGCCGTGGTGGCGAGATTACACAATCAACCGAAAAGCATTAGAAACTCTCGGGCGACTGGACATGGGAAAACGTCGACTGGGTTCA